GAGTGGCGGCGCGGCGGGTCAACGACCGGCCGCGTCGTGACGCAACGCTGAACAAGTAGGCCGCACACTGCACAGCGTCACACTTACGCGTTAAACGCGTTTTATGACGTTTTTGCGGAATCATTTTAATTATTATATGCTCGTACTGTATTTAAAACAAACTGCATGAAGTATATTGATATTTATATAGTATTATATATTTATCCTCCTGGGACCCGAACTATAAATTATTGAATTTAAGCAGCGTTTTTCTATTTACTGGGCTAATTGACGTTACACTAATGCAAAACTATCAATTAAATGTTACACAAATATCTATTTCAGGATTTTCAGGTGGTATCAAATATGATACTTTGGGACACATAAGAAAAAAAAACTATTTTATTTCAATGTTAGTTTTTTTTAAATCAGTATAATTTTCACATTTAATGCTGCTGAAAAGTTTTATAACAATTCCTAGTGAAATTAAAACATAAATATTAAATATGCATCACACTCCTAACATATAAAAGTCAAAGCTATACAACTTTCGGTACCTTATTTTTCATTAAAGTGGCCGTTCCGTTACATACTCTTTCTGTTACGTTATCCAAAGTGGTGAAGAGGTAAAATTCATGTAAATTCAAGTGCCTACTGGTATGGTATCCTGCAAATGCTATCTTACTATCTTGCTAATTGTTCAGGTGTTGGGTACAAAGCCGATTCCACTTTACCTTTACTTTAGATATTACTAGACCTTGAGGTATAAATCCAACGGTAAATCGTCAGAATTCACTGCGATATAAAGTTTTATTCCTTCTGGGTTTGGTTTACCTTTCACCAGTTGTTTGTTGACCCATCTTTTTGTGTAAGGTAAGATCTGCTTATCGATGGAGACATTTTTGTCGCGAACATTTTTACGGCACGCTCTCTCAATCTCTAAAACTATTGATCGTATTTTCCAGAAGCAGTCGTTAGATTGCGTAGATTCTAAAACATCAGTTTCATTTACGACTTTTAAGTACGAACGAATCTCAGTATAACGTCTTTTAGTCATTGCAGGTGCCATTAAGTCGCACTAGTTTCTAAAAGCCAGAATTGTTTTATTCTTGGCATACCTAACAGTCCAGTAACCATGCTATTCCCAAAAAACGTTAAATTTCTGCAGCAGCAGAGTTCACTGATTTTTCTGTGCGCACAAAGGACATGACATTTGGACAAAAATCCATGTTTGTAAAGAATTCAGCATTCAAGTACCACTCAAAATATTCCAATATCTTTTTAGATATCAGGCTTCAGGTTGCTCTCTGAGAGATTTTCACTGCACCTGATGTGAATGCGTTAAAAATGGCTTTAAAATCAGTTGTATGTTTCCAAATTATTGGCCTACCTGTAGAAACATGCCTCGTTGAACGGGGCAGTAGTTGAAGCGGCTCATCATCAGAGGAATCGCAATCACTATTTGGTTCCTACAAACTTGGCTGTTCCTCAATCTTATCTATATCCTGGTCCTGTATGCCATCCTCGTCCACGTCACAGTCCTTCTTTTCATCATCGGAGACGTTGGAGTCCAATAATTCATGGGGAATTGTTGTTGTTGAATTGTGTCAGATATACCGGAAATCATTGTAAATGGTTAATATTTTTTCCAATAGTGCCCAGAGTATCACATTTGATATGCTCAATTTATCGTATGATATTCACGTTAAAATAAACATTTACGTTATTTACTTACGGAAAATCCAAAGAAGAGAGCTTAACCTTTATAAACAATAGTAAATTACTTAGGAATCCATAATTTAATAATTACTTACCCTTACGTAAAGTTGACATGGCGAAAACTTTGAATTTTTGAAAAATAACTGTCCTACCCACTTAAACTTTAAGCACTTTGAAATACGAAAATTGTAGTTATAAATCATTAGAGGTCTACTCTATGGCTTAAATAAAAAAGAATTAGGAAAATATAACAGATGACGCTTTCACGAAGTTTTTAATTCAAGTATCAAATATGATACTATGGTTCCCAAGAGGATATATAGTATTATAGATTTATATAGTTATCTATACTAATATTATTATAAAATGTGATAGTTTGTAAGTATGGATGTTTGTTACTCTTTCACGCCAGAACGGGTGAACAGATCTGGATGAAATTTGGCACAGAGATAGATTATAGTCTGGAATAACAAATAGGCTACTGTTTATCCCGGAAAAATGTACGGTTCCCGTGGGCTAAGTTTGCTTTTGTTCTCCTGGAGGCGAACCGGAGCGAAGCGAGGGTGAGCCGCTATTTTATATAATATTATATAGTTTTTTACCCACGAATTTACTCGCTTAGAAAGTTAAGAAAGATTGCACTTCTATACTAAATTATAAATCTAAAGATTTTTTTTATTTGTTTGTATGAGCTTATCTCTGAAACTACTAGTCGAAATGATTTTTATTTTGCATTTATTATTAGTTAGGATTTCTGAGGCTAAGGTTATAGACTATCTAGCATCACCCTACGATCATAAAGAACAGCAATTACACATAAATAGCGTGGTTCATAAAGAAAGAAAATTAAGTAAGTAAATTAAGTATGTGGGTGGTATACGTGGTCGTAAGCATACCACATGTATGTAGGTTACGTATGTCGCGTTTGTAAACCAATATTAATTACGAGAGTTAAGACTAGAGTGCTGCAATGCTATTCATACGATATTTTTTTATATTTTACCAAGACCAAATATGAATTAGATTAGACCCATTGCCTACTGACGTATTAACTACCCTCCAGATATAGAATTTTAAGAATTGACAAGATGATGTTATGAGGCGAACAGCCATAAAAAAAATTATTGAACCGTTAAAATTTTCTATCAGACAGATAGACAACTATGTTTAACCGCTGTTTTGGCTATGATGTCATCATCGTCTCGTCTAATAATTAAATCAGCTCAATATGGGGTAATTATATCGAAATCACAAATTAACATTTTAATGTTTAATAGTAATGAAATGTACTTCCACACTTACTAGCGATATTTACGTATTATTATAATCACTTTAGACAGCTTAAATCGCTATGTATATTGCATCCGTGTGAAGTGGCTCTTAGTCTGCTGTGTTACTTACCACTTAGTAAAGCCAGACGTATCGAGGTCTGTGATGAAATCGTTACACTACACTTAGTGCTCACTGCCACACTGTCTGTATAATACTTAGTCTAGCTTTATAACTAAAATACTACTAGAATACCGTGGGTTTACTTGTAATTTAAGCATTTTTTAAAAGTAGGTACCATTTTTTATTTGATCGAGGAAGGAGTAGAGTATAATGAACCTTTCCACTGTTTGCCATATGTTTTTTAACCTTCTTTTTTATTTTATTTTACAAAATCTTTCAGATAAAGGTATTTATCTGAAAAATCTCCGAATCTGAAGGTTTTAATCTTTTAGATAAAGGTAATACTCTTATCATAATAATTGTAGTGTCTGATTAATTCTCTAAACTTTATCAAGCGTATGGTATTTATTAGCGACTAGGAAAATTTTAACGGTTAGTATAAATTTCTCAGAGATGAGATATTTTCCCGCAGTAAAAAGTATCCTATATGTGGATCTGGAAAACCAGCTACCATCATACCAAATTTCATCAAAATCTGTCCATTTGTATGGTTTTCCCGTGATCCGTTTTCAGACAGACAGACAGACAAAAATTCTAAAAAACTATAAATTCGCCCTCTGTATCGATAATAATGACTATTTCAATAAGACTCCAAAAAATATTCCATGTACAGATTCGACTCAGTTAGAATTTTATTATATGTATAGATTAACGCTATGCAGCATCAAAACCTTAATTAAAGAAATGGGAAGCCAAACAAATTTCTACTGTGCCTAATGGCTAAGTTGAGATTTTTCCTAATACGAAACGTGTATTTATCATCTATACATATAATAAAATTCTAACTGAACCGAATCTGTATATTAAATATTTTTTGGAAAATCTATTTTTTTTGTTTATTTTAGTTAATTCTTTTTTAAATTTAAATAATTACCCCACATCAAATAGTTTTTATTATATTACACTCACACCTCATAGCTCACACCGCGTGCTGACGGTTTTCTAATAAACATTCATATCCAGGTCATAACAATTCTGCGCGCTATGAGATACACAAACGATGTACGAAATATTCCAGATTATTTTTAGTTTTTACCAACACAGAGCTCGCCTAAATTAGCTTTTACTCACTCGGCAGAATCTTTGCCAAAAATATTTTTGAAATATTGCGCATTTGTACTAAATTATTTGGGTTTAGATTGTTGTTGTTATAGGGCTTGAGATAAGGTCAGTCACCTTTTGTTTTCAAAGTTCAAGTTCGCTCTGTAACAAGTTAATAAAAGTTTTTTTTTAATATCTCTATCATTTAATTCTTCCACGACCGCGGACACGCCGGCGTTACAGTTAACAATAGATTTCTTAGAAATTTAATTAATTTCTTAGAAATTTACCTGGAGATGTTAACATTATGCTTTTCCTACTGATTAATTATTGTATGTTTTAGTTCCTAAATGCCTAATATTAGTCTGTGTTTCTCCAAATCATCAATACTCAAACAATGCCCAAGTACAGTCAACAAACATACCTCGTATCATACATATAAAGGAGTATACACCCCTTATTAACATCCCACTGCTTGAAACGGATCTTCAAACGAGGGGGTTCAGGCCATAGTCTACCACGCGGGTCAAATGTAAAGATTTCACATGTCTTTCGAAAACTTGCTAGGTTTTCTCAAACATGCATGTTTTCTCACAATGATTTCCTTCACCGTAAGATACTCGTAAGTCGTAATCATGTTGAAAACGATTCGCACATGATAATATGATAGATGCGAGACTCGAGAATTGAACCCGCTTCACTCAGTTACCACTGGGCTACCACTGCCAGATTATATATATAGTAGTACCTACGATTGTGATTTTATATAGTTTATATAATATCTCAATGTATATTGTAATGTTTTCCAGCTGCAGAGGTGCTATCAACGCAGAGGCCGCTGGCGCGATGTCGGCCGCTGCACGCCGCCACGCTCGAGTCTAGGAACAAGGCCAAGAAATGCGCTGAGTTCCTACAACCTTATAGGTACGTTTGGTAAAGTACCTGACTGATACAGATTTTTTAACCAATAGATAAAAATTATTCATTAACTAAGTTATTACATCTTGCAAAGTAGACTATTGAAGTATTTTAGTCATATAAGTGTCATTTTTAATTTGATTATTTTGTATTCCTCCATTATCTTTTAATTCTGTGAGTTTTATTTTGATATTTGAAGAATCAGCCCACAAGCTAACCGATAGCATTACAAAAACACTCAAAATATTTCATAGATTTTATTCGTGCTCGCGATTTTAAAAATATTTAAAAAAAATATTTTAAAATATAAGGAGGTTTACATATAATATGCGAACGTACTCGCCAAGAGCGAAGATCGAGTGTCTTGTGGCATAGTCTACCTACTCACATAATTGTCTTATTCGGGATTAGGGAGGCCCTCGCTACTGTCATAATTACTTTTAAACGACATTCAGGAGATAGATAGCTTTAGGATTTACGAGTACAACTGTAATCTGCCACGAAATGCCACTATAACATTGTTTTAAAAATTGGTGTTCAATCTCCTAAACATCTTATACATATAATTAGTTCACCAATAAAGAACTATATGAGAGCATTTTTGGAAGTGAAACTTCTTTGGTAAATATAGCAATTAAATTAAACAAATCGATAATTAAATAAGGCATATTAGGCATATTACTATCATATTTTTATAGGATATCTTAAAAAGAATATCTATACATATAAAAAAATGAATTATATTATAATTGAATTAAATAAAACACACACAATTTTTTTATCAAAAGATGTTATTTAGCGTAATTAGTAAAACCAAAACATTTAGAGAACTGGCAGCGCCATCTAGTTAAAAAACATATAAACTAATTTTATTCGTCTAGTCGTTCTCATTGGAATGCCGTGTTACTTATAGTTAGGCATCATTTAGTCTAGATATATCTTTTGTCATACTATTGTGAGAACGTATGCTCTGTTAGCGATCTTCATTATATGAATGAATGAATTATTGACATAAATGAATGAGTGAATGAAATAACTAAATAAACATATAACCGTGCAGACAGCGGCCGGAGACGTGCACGGCGCTGGCGCGGCGGCTGGTGTCGGGCGCGCTGGGCGTGCGCCTCAGCACGGCGCGCCAGGAGCGCCTCGAGGAGCGCCGCCTCATCACCATCGCGCGGGGTACGCACACAACGAGTTATTGTTTGTCGTTTTCAGCTTTAGCAACTTTAGCTTAGGTCGGGTGCGTCCCGTCGTAGTCTACCTACATATTTGCTATTTACTTCACCTAAATTCTACATATTTTCACCCAAATCCGTCCAGCCGTTTCACCATGAAGGATTGACACACATACACACATATAAACTTTAACAATAATAATAGAAATCCGATTAAATTATTGTTGAATGTTAATGCAGCGATAAACCAGTGGTAACCCGCTCACTGGAAAGCTATGTGAACAGGGTTCAAACCTCGGGTCTCGAATCTGTCATATTTCCATAGGCGAATCATTTTCGACATGATACCATTTATCTTACGATGAAGAAAAATATCATGAGGAAATCTACATGTCTGAAAGAAGAACCTTCCAAGTTTCCCAAAGACATGTGTATTGGCCAGCGTGGTGGGCTACAATCTAAAATTCCTCGCAATATTTAATATGAGAGGAGCTAGTGCCAAGCAAAACGTTAGCTGTATTAAATTTTTTATTACTATTTTTATTAGGGCAAATTGAGTGTAACAATTTAAATATGTCAAAATTTGAAAATAATCGGTGAAGAACTTTCAGATATTTGAGGTTTTAAACAAACATATACATTTTAAATTATTTAGATGAAATATAAATATATGATAATACATTTAAAAAAAATATACGCTGAGAAACAAAGTTGGTTCTAACTTCTAAAATTAAAAAGCTAATACATAGTATATCAATATATTGTCTGGCACGTTACAGAAAAGAAGCGTCAGGCGGCGCTGCACAAGGAGGCGGCGTGGGACGGCTCACTCGCCAACCAGCACACCCTCGACGCGTGACAGGTATACGCACAGGCACACACACACCAATACGCACACACAAACACAGAGAGAAATACACACATATGTACACATCCATATACGCACACACACACACACAGACATATATGTATGCACAATGCACATCATAGGCAGACATGCATGTGCGCAAACACAAGTGCACGCACTCGTACACGAACGTATAAATGTGTTTGTATGCAGAGACACATCATTTCCTACAAATCTTTCCAATAGCTACCACCAAGTATTGCGCCTGGTTTCACTGTGACAATGAAGAGATTAAGAGTGACTGACATTGATCATGAGGTGAATGGAGGTCATACACCAAAGATAAACATATAACATTCATTTAATAACGGCTGCAGATAGTAAATTCTGGATTCGAGTTCCGGGTCTTGCTTGCCTTGTCAATAGCTAACTAATCAAAAAAAGCCGGTCGACGAAAATAGGCGAAAATGGTACTGAACAGAAAGATACTGCCTGTATTTGCCTATTTATACATATGTATTTTATTTAATTAATATTTCGTGCGCCAGATTGACAGCCCTACTCAGTGTCGATCGGGGCGACATTTGCATTATTATTTTACACATATCCTTAAAAACACACAGAAAAAAAACAAATAGAAAGAAAACTAAATTTTTACAATCGTCTTAATAATATTTTCTTAGTTTTAGGCGAATAAATGACATTATAAAATAAAACTACCTTTTCGGATTATTTCGCGGATTTGTTTTGATTTTTGGTTCTCGACGTTTCGAATGTTTTACAGCGATTACGGTCACGGGAGAGACTAAGGTTTTAGTTAGACGTCTCAAAATAGTATCGATGTATCGTCGCGAAATAATCCGAGAAGATAGCTTTATTTTAAAAAATTATCTGAATAATTTAAAAAGGGTTTCATTAGCAATACATTTAATATTGTATCTATTTGTTGATCCAGCGTGGACGGTTTCGGGCGCCGCGCTCGCCTTCGCCCCCCGCGCCCAAACGTAAGATGCTCTCAAATAGACTATAATATGTTACGTTTAATAATTGAATAGATATTTTTATATAACTTGTAGTTTAATAACATGTTAAGAAGTCCCCGTCCGGTTATTTTGCCGTCCCTCTCTAACTCGCACATCTCTATAGTGCAAGAGAGGAACGGACAGATTTGTTATTATATTTTAAAATAAAAATTTAATTTTACGTCCCTTATTGAAGTTCTAATAAGATGGCTATATTTGTATACATAATAACTATTTACACAATATGTATGGCTTGCTCAAATGAAAATTGTAATTTATATATAACGTTGTACTGAAAATTGTCTTTAAGGTATGAATATTGAATATTATTTTCAAACTCCCAACGTTTTCGTTTATTTTGTTGTTAATATTAGATGAAATTGTTGTTGGAAAAGATATTTATCGATGATAATTAATTATCTGTATGCAAATAATGAATGTTATCATATATTTGTTAGTATGTATATGACACATCTATTGTGTGTTTGTTTGTTGCTAAAATAATTGAACCGTAGACGAGCTGTCACAGTAGTTGTAAATATTTCGTCATTTTAGATTTATGGAATTAAAATCGATTTGTTAGTCAACAGGTTTTAAACGATTTTTTTTCATTCGAATCTTTGAATTATGTCAAAATTAAATTTATATTGTAATATTTGTATTTTAATGACTGTCCTTTTTATAATAGGGAATATGCATGATTTTTTTTAGTTTTGTATACAATAGCTAACATCGTTTTAATAAAAAAAAGTACTTTAGACGTCTGCCATTTTTCGCTCGGCGTGACGTCACAGTATGATATACACAGAAAAATGATGACTCAATTTGTAGCGACAAAATCGCTAATCGCTCCGTTATAATCCGCTATATAATACTTTGACGTCATATTCGGTCTGACCAATGGCGTGCGTTTCAACTACTATTTGCACTTTCTAATAATTATTTTCTTAATTAAAAAGAAACTACAGTAAAAAATATTGATATAGGCTTAATTCAAAAGCAATAAATATTATAAAAAATATTTCACCTTTAAATCACATGCATATTCCCTATTAACTGTCACTCAACAACTTCTATAACGTTCGATGTTTTAAAGAATTAAAAAAAATTGTTTGGTTTTACGATTAATTGAAAAACAATATTAATTAATTGAGTATTATTTAACAATTATATATGCTTGTCTAGATCTCTCTCATACTTTCAATGTAACACTTGTCTTCCTCTTGCTGACTTTTTTTATATTCTATAGTAAAATATTATGAGTTAAATCATTTTATTAAAATACCAAAATAAGAATGTACTTTCAAATCTCAGTAAATTGTGTTTTTTTGTTGTTGATGTTTTTTTTTTAATTTCTCGCGTTACATTCTTTCGACTTTTATTGTTTTAGTATTTAAATACCAAATATTAGTGAAGCATAATGTGTATAAGATCTAGCATAGTGTGTGTAAGATCGCTCACTGCGTGTTTGTTGTGAGTCGTGCCTTGTGTCTAGTCGTAACAGTAACGGTAACAGTAACGGTAACGATACCGGTAACAATCACAATGTTACCATTGTCCTGGTTGATGATAAGCAAAATAACGTAACAAATTGTGATCGATAATGGTTGATGAGATATGTAATATTGTTTCTCTATTTTGTAGATCTGTTTGTTTAAAATGTACCAGTTCATAAATGACAAAAAACTATAGTAGTAATAATACTATGTGTCATGTAATATATTGTGGAGTTTCGTTTTGTTGTAAGTTTTGATTTTACAATGTATTGCTCATATTTTAAATGAAATTAGATCTCAGTGTGAATGTTTGTTATTAAATAGTTATTAATAGATGACTTCTGTCTTCTTAGTTTTCACGACAACGGCGAAGTTTTGTGCCCAACTGGCACGCCTAAAGATACTAAACAAAGAATTAAAATACAATACTATTTATTATTTTAATTATGTAAATCATATTTATTATGAAAGTAATACAAGGAGAATATAAACTCGCTGTTTGTTTCACCGCCGCTGTAAAATTATCAAAATATTGATAAATTATAATATAAATGTGTATACTTTTCTGTATACAAAATATGCTTTGAAAAAGCTAATGATATGAATTGGTACGTTTTGACAAGTTTGGAAAATATGTAGTTTGTAACACCGTTGTTGTTTGTGACCGGTAACATTCCGGTAACGGTTACCGTTGTTCTGGATGGGAACTTCTTAGCCACTAGCTGTAATTAGCATAATTATACATAGATTTATTAAAGTGTCACTTTGTTTTGTTTATTTGTCATCTCGTCACATAAGACCAACGTTTTTGTTTTGTATATTTTTTTTTACTAAAACTGTCACAAATTTTAAATTATTATTTTGAATGACTGCTGTTTGTATGGTTTGCGTCATAGGTTTTTTATTAAAGGAATCGTTTTAGTTGCAATATATAATAGAGCTGATATTTTTAATAAATATTAAGCAAATATTATATTTTTATGAGAACATGTACTTAGTTTTAGAGCTGTCACTTTTGTTCTGAAACTTCCTACATTCAAAGTGAGTCCTGTAATGTAATATTGTAACAAATTCAATTTCAAATAGTTTAAAACTTGAAATAGGTAAGACATTGTCGAAATTGTCGAACTGTCATCTATAGAATATAACCCATGAACGTAAATGACGCCGTCAGTGCAAAAGCGACCTGACTCAAAGAAAATTTGTAAAAAGCAAATGGTATATATTTATATGTACATTCATTACACAAAACTGTTAAATTATATTAATTTATTTGTTTTATTTTTATTTTGTGTAATTAGTAATATGAGAGTTAGGCCACTTTAATCTGACAGCATAAATGTGCTAATAAAATCTTATGGGACTACTGTTTTATAAAATCTAAGAATATTTCTTCACCACACCACCATTACGTTCATAAATACAAGTGGATGCAATAATTTTATATATATATATATATATATATATATATATATATATATATATATATATATATATAATTAAATTTATAACGAAAAAACCGATCGAATGGATTATTCGCGCAATCACAATGATGTGACGAATTTATATAAGCATTTACCGTGATTTGTGTAATGTTTGTGGAACCGTCCATACATTATGTAGCAGAAGGAAGAATTATAATGAAATATTTTAGTTTTTTTACTGCAAATTTTTAACTGACAGTTTGATCTGAAAGTGCGCTCAGACAAAACATTTTGTGTGAAAATTAAATATATCAACGCTCGAATAAAATTGCAAGTTATCGATTTTATGTTGTTTAATCGATTTTTTTAGTATCGAATGATCATTAGCGGTATTTTATCATTATATGCATGTCACATCTGCTGTAATATACTGTTAATGTACCATTTTAGTCAACTCGGATAGGATAATAAATATTTATGTATGTATGTATATATTTACTAAAAGTGTCAAGAAATATCAAAAAGTAGATAAAATAAGATGTCAAGTAAAGGATCGTCCTCTCGCGAGCGCCGTCTCTTAACATTCTCTGTAATTGTGAAATATATTTTAAAAATATTTTTATATTCATTGATTTTTTTAATTTATGAAATAAATAGTCAAATGAATAATTGTCTATAATTTACCTCACTTTCCTGCTCCTACTAAACCTTTTAACTTGTCCGTGTCATTTTAAATCAAATTAAAATGTTTTATTAAAGACTTTTACAAGCACTTTTGAATCTTAAATATCTGTATTTTTTATATGTTTAGTTGTTAGTTAGTATATGAATTTTTATGTTATAGTTTATTTTAAGAATATAAACATTTTATAGTACGATTTATACAGAACAAAAAAAAATTAAATTCAGCAAACATATGAGGCTTAGAGTAAAAATGTAACAAATGTTATGAATGAAATTACACGTCAGTATTAAATTATTCAAAGTATACGATATAGATCAATTATACTCTGAGATGGAAAAACGGTTTTGAAACGAGGTATATAGTTTTTATACTAACTGTTTAAACTAAACCCTAGATCAAAGAAAAATTGGGATATAACTAGTGATTTACCATCGCTTCGTTCGGGTGCATGCGCCTAGATTTTAAATTTTATAAGTACAAAAGTTTCGACTTTTCTTCATAAATATGATGATAACAACAATCTACATCCATACAAATATTATAAATCTGAAAGTGTTTGTTTGTTTGTCCTTCTTTCACGTCAAAACGGAGTGACAGATTTACGTCATTTTTTGTGTGAAGATAGTTGGAGGGCTGGAGAGTTACAGAGGCTATTTTTTACCGCTGCAGATTATCTAATTTCCACTGGAATGCACTTTATAATACAATCCAAAAAAAAATTATGATCAGAATTATGTACTTGAAACTTGGTATTAATGCTAAATAAAATTAAATAAATACATGTTTAAGCATTTTTTGAAATTCATCCCATAAGGTGGTAAAATAGGGGATGAAAGTTTGTATGAAACTACCTTTTTAGAGATTTTTTGTAGTTTTACCGCGAGCGAAGTCGCGGGTTCTGCTATTAGTACATAATTATCTTAAACGAATGTCGAAGAACAACATTAGACAAATTTTGTTACAAACAGTGCCCTATGCCACGCTGGATCATTAAAATCAGGTTGGTACGTTTCATGGATACCCGACTATGTACATAGGCCCTAGCAATGAACACCATATTGCGTTAGCAAAAAGCGAGTCATATTTAAAATTCCTCTATTTCACCACCTATTGTCAATCTATGAGGACAATAGCGGCGGCTTTCGACAACTACAAAACAATCAGGCGAGACTGCTCGAAGGTCGCCAATAATTGCTTATATCGCAGAGCTTCGAACTTGACTTTGAGAAACTGAAAGCGTGTATTTAATTAATATTATTCACCCAGTTATTATTTATAAATTATTTAATAATTACTACCTCGGTGGTGTAGTGGCTAGTATGTACGGCTGCACACCCGGAGGTCCTGGGTCGAGTCCCGGGTCGGGCCAAGTTTAGTTATTGAGTCTTTCTGTATAGTAAGCCTCAGTAACAGCCCGGAGTTGGGAAGTTGGCGGTGTTTCACCCCCATGCCTCGGAGAACACGTAAAGCCGTCGATCCTGCGCCTTTACTCTCACTGGTCATGTCGAGCAGTCGTCCCACCGGAGTATGAGAGTGACAGGAATAGAGAGTGCACGTGTGTCTGCGCGACACTTGTGCACTATAATATCTCCTGCGCAGTTGGCTAGTCTCAATGTGATTGGCCGCCGTGGCCGGAATCGGTCAGGAGAACATCATTTATAAATTATTACTGAATAATATGTAATGTATATTTTATGACAAATAAAATGTAAAATAACTCTTAAACTTGGTAAAAATATTATAAAAAAAATAAACCTTATAATTATCCTATTCCTGATACTCTATATTCATCTCATTCTCTCGTAGGTTACTTTTCTGAAGTTTCACTTCTACCGTATGTGAATTGTACACACACGCACTTTTTTTAATGAATAGGCTCAACCCTTTTCGCTACGGCTTCGCTCATATCTCATAGAACTTTTAAAAGACGAGATACTCAATTAATTACCATTTTTATATCGATATCTCCGCTAATTATAAATCGATTATCTTATTTTTTTGTATCTACGATTACATTATGTTTCAATTAAGGAGGGTAGAAGTAAGGAGGAGTCACGTATATGGGAGATAAGTTGAAAAAGTGTCCACCTATATGCTGATAATAGATGGCGCTGGCGTACGAAAAATTACGATATTAATTTAACTTTTGTTAGACGGAGTGTCCAATCCGGCCCTTGTTTATTTCTCCATCTTATTCTAATTACTTTACCATTACACCCTTAATCGACGCGTTTTTACGGACACTATCATATTAGGATATTATTAAAAATGAAAATAGTGGATTTAAACCGCCGATTTGTGGTTAAACGTTAAACTCGTCAAAACTAATAAAACTGTAATTAAAATTTAAATTATAAAAATAACGTCTCTAACTGTATAATAATATGTAATATGCATAATAATATTGTGGTCAATTTTTTCATATATTTTTAGTTCGTTTTTTTATATACATACTCGTAGCTATATCACGAAGACAGATAAGCTGTAATGGAGCCCACGGACGACTAGCGACCACGACCGATTAGGCACATCTTTTTTTCTCTAAATTTATATCGACCACCAGTTAGATTTAATCCATTTATTGAAAATAATTAAAAACTAAGTATACAATTAGTAACAATATCGTGTAACATACAATTCATACATACAAAAATACGGACAAATTAAGTACCTCTTTCATTTTGAAGTCGGTCAATAAAGACCAGTAGACCCAGTGGCGCGGCACCGTGGGTGTCGCGTTGATCAGGACGTTTCTTAACTATATTACTAACTATTGTAATCGAAAACAATGACCGCCGTCACGAACGTTTAATATAAACATCAAAATAAAACCTATTTCCAGTACAAACAAACGGCTGCAAGAGAACTCACGTTACAAAGATGAAGCATATTTTACTTCTATTATGTCTTGTGTCGTGTGCTAATTTGGAAAAGAAAACTTTTCAACATTTCTACATATCGCGCAAAATAAGATCTAATTCCGAACCAAAGAACACCGGATATATGTACAGTCAAGTTAATAACCAACCAGCAAGCTTTTCTACATTTTATAATAGAATTACTAATAATCATAGTAAAGGATCTGATAATTTAGAACAAACAAACTTACATAAGCGGAAACTTGTAGACTGTAAGGAATGTTCTAAAATTATTGACAATCACACAACAGCTCCTTTACAGTCTCGGGTGAGGTTATTGGAAAAACTAACTGAAGCAAAAAAAAATGATAATCCAGCATCAACAGCAAGTCATATGATAACCAGATATGATATGGGTCCAGGCTTTCATACAGACGATGAAGATGTTAGAACTGATCCTGGTCACTTCTACGACGGTTGGCCTTACTTTTATCATACCCCATATGAATATGAACCAAACGAATATGATATTGAAGTTGAAAAAGCGAAAGATAAACGTTTTGTGGAACCAAGGATGGAGAGAATCATTCCGGTTCACGAAAATCATGACGATATTTCAAATAACTACATTTATTCCGGCCCCAATTACAGACATACACAAACCGATACTACTGACAATCCAATTTTCGGAAATAAGCCGTTCTTTTCATATATTCTAAATGATTATTTCGATAAATCCTACGACGATGATCCTCTTGTTTTTAAGGGTATTTCGTGGGAAAACGAATTTAATAATGAAATACCACCTCAAGATATAGATGATTACGCCAGACGAATTAGACATCTTGATAATAACTACCCTAATCAACGTGAGGGAAATTACCTGGAAACAACTACAGAAGCTTCACACGGCCTCGACAGCCATAGAGAAATAATAAAGAGTAATAAGTATGACAACAAACAAGACACTGAAACAACTAAAAAAGGCAATGACAAAATACATAGACACAAAAGCGGACAAAATCGCGATAAACAAAAATATAAGGAGTTCAAGGATTTTACCGATGCTTTCGCAAATAAGTTTGGATCAGAGGACCACAATAAAATTTCCAAGTACTCCGTTAAAAATAACGCTGATAAAGGTGAAAAAAAGAAAGGCTTTCGAAAAGTGTACCACAAAGATGAATATCAGGAGCACAATGAGTTTTTTGATGATAATAATAATAGTATTAATACTGAAGAACATGGAGATTCGAAAGTTCGAATTGGTAGCTCTGAAGCTTTGTTGGGATCTAAAGCAGCGGTGGTCTCAGGGCATGAAGGAAAAACTAGTAACATCGCAGAAGATGTTGACACTAACTTATTTGAGAAGAAATACGAAGATTCTAAACGTCTTAAGGGTATAGATAATAATTTAAAATCATATAGAGATGTGGGCAAAAATATAGCTTTAAGTAATAGCGACTATTTTGATGGATATGTAAAATAATTTAATAATTATAATCGTTAGCATATTTTTTATTAAGTTTTATTGAAATTATTTGACATTTATTCACTTATAAAATAATAACATGTACAATGCAAGTTATTATATCTTAATAAAATATTAGATATTCCTTTGGGCTTTCGTAGTAAATAAAAGTATTGTTTATTGTTGAGAATTTTTATATTGATCATTAATTAACAATTATTTACTTTACATTTATTACATTAAAAACAGTATTTGCTACATTTTTGATACCTTTTATAAAAATATATGTATGTAATAAGGAAAAATGTATTTTATTTACACCAATGTACTTAAATAAATATGAATAATTAAAAAATCATATCTTCTTAGTCAGGGTTCCTCTAATTTCTTCGATTTCGGAACTTGGGGAAATATTGGTAGAATACTTAATATTTTTGATATTAAAGATGAAGTTTGCTGGCCGAGTTTATCTAGGTAATCGCCGAAACTCAAAGGGGACCTCGCTGTTCTGACCGAGGACTTGCCTTCATATTCTTTACTGCTCTCTTCACTGATATAATCATCGGACGCTTCAGCGACGGACTTCTGGAGTTTTGGCGTTTCGGTAGTCTCAACAGAGTCGTCATCGTATTCATCTTTTCGCTTTTCTTCCACATTTGTTACATCGGACGCTTTAATATTGCGAGGTATTACAATCTTTGGTTTCAATATTTCTTTTGATTTATACTCAACTCGTGAACCTACTTTTACTTTAATCCTTGGCTGTAGCGGCTTCTCTCTGCCGGCGAACTCGTCATGATGAACATCAAAGTCATAATCATCGATGCTAAAGTCTTCGTCTTCGTGTTCTACGGAGTCTGAAAACTTAACCGGATGCTTTACCTTCGCCTGGTAATCTTCTTCACTGTCAGTCTCCGAGAACTTAGGTATTGGCTTTTTAACCAGAGCTACCTTTGATTTCCTCGATGTGATTCTTGTTGTACTGTTAGGTATATCAGTGCTGCTAACGTTCCTGGATACACGGGAATAAGTTTGAGATTTAAAGCGATCACCATCACGTCTCTGTTGCAATTCTTCTGATTTTAATTCTTCACTTGAATTATCAATCATTTCCTTATTTGTAGTTTTAGCGCCTACTCCACTATGAAGCAAACTTTTCAAAAATACCAAAGACAAAATGTGAAACAGAGCAAGTTTCATGGTAGTGAAATGTGTCTCTCTTAAACTTAGACTAACAGAGCCTCATTGTTTCAGATTAAACGTAAACAATCATTGTTGTTAATTATTGTCTACATTTGAAATAAAACAAGATTCGTTACCGCAGTGCGAACTCATCGATACTATAATTTGTTTGATAAAATTTTAATAACAATATTATCGTCTTTATTAAAATACATTGTTACAAAAATGGTTAAGGATGCTTGGTAAATATACTTAGTATTTTGGTTCCAAATTTTACTGTAATAACAACTATAATATTATATTGACTTTAACCCTAGTATCTCGCGTGACCATGTTTGCTGTAAAGCATTCGAAACTTAAGGAACCAAAATATAAAATAAAACCGCGACAAAATTCGAAACAATAAGTTTCATTAAATATTTGACATTTCAAATGTCAAATATTTGCGTAAATCTAAGAAAGTGTTATCCTAAATCTTACTTTTTATTTGTATAATTTGCTTGTTCATATATTAGGTACATAAAATACAAATTAACTAAGAAGGGTCTCCTCTGTTCATTCAATATTAAAGTCTCATGGGACGACAATTCGTAATAACCTTTGGGAGATCAGGTGCAGGACCGACGTGACACATGCTATCCCAGATCTGAGGAACCGGGGTGGAACAATCTGAACTTTTTATATCCGGGCTAATGAGAATTTATTAAAAAAAGAACCCAAGGCAATAACTATATTTGGTCCTACCCGAGACTTGAATTCTGGACCTTCGTATCTGTAGCCGTAGATGCTGGCCACTAGACCAACGAAGCAAATCCATGGTATATTAAGTAGATTCCGTTTGTTACTAATTCTGCGGGATACGGAGACGGGCGTGCTAGCTGGACTTAGATTTAAGAGAAGCGAGAGCATGTTAACAGTTCATATATGATTTTTCTATATTAACAATCAACGTATTTAATAACATAAGGTATTAGGTTTTTATTTTAAAAGTAAAACCGGGAAATTTATTACAATAAAATTTTTAACTGAATCACTAGTTAACTATGTAAGTTTATTTGTTTACATAACTATATCCAGTAAACAACATCAACAGATCATATTAAAAGAACAATGTAAACAGCGAAACGCGTTAGTTACTTTAGAAACATTATGGAGTTGTTATTGAAAGTATTCAGTACATTTCTCTATTTCAATTTGGTGGCGGTCCATCCTTATATTTTCGATACCAACCCGTACGGTTATGTCGCTGCAGTTAACAAAATGAACGCTTTTCCAAAAAACAGAATATCTGGATATAAGAAATATTTTAGAAGTAACAGTTTTACAAATGAAAAATTAGTTAACGAACACGCAGTGGACAGTCAGTTTAAATTGCCTTCGTCGAATACGTTTGTTGCATTACCAACAAAACATAATTACTTTTCTTCAATAATAACAACTGAGGCTTCAAAACGTCAAAATAATGCTTTGGAAGAAACGGTTAGGAATGAAAGTAAGAGAAAAGAACTGATTCGAGATCAAATGAGAAACAAAACAAAGACATTTTCACTCAACCGAGTATCAAAGGTTAAAGAAACTTATATTCCTGCCAATCAAAATAGTCTAGCTGTCCAACAGAGATCAAATACCCCTGATAACCAGTCGAATAGGAAGAACAATTATATTTCACAGAAAAACGTTGATTCCACCCAAAACCACGACGGAGCTCAGAACACTCTTCAAAATACACAAATGTTAGAAATTAAAAACAAAATGTTCCATAAAGTAAATTCTAATGAACGTAATCCACAACCGTCGCTCTCACGAATAGATAATTTGCAGAAATACATCGATACGTTCGTAAGACAAACTGAATACAGAAAGAGGGATACAATACATAAAACTGACGGTGTAAAACATCAACAGCACCAGAAGAAGATATACGATGGTGAAAATTATGAGCCAAGTAATTGGATATCAATGAAGAATGCCAGAAACGAGAAAGTACTTAACTTTCCAGTGAGGATAGGCGGTTACAATATGGTCAAAGAGATCAACAAGACACCGTATGCTCTGTTCTACAAAATGAACCGTGACAGCTACGAGCAACCGGCCCTATTGGGGCAAGACATAGAAGCGTCTATCAACGTAGACGATGTATTAACATATGAAAAACTCGATAAAAGAGATGCAGCAAACGATAAAAATATTGGAAAGATTATAATGAATTATAATAACTTCCGATATCGATAGTGACTACGTAATGGAAGAGGATCTAAGGATATCTTATTATTTATGAAAATTGTTAAAATAAAAGTTAAATAAAAAACTATTAATGGTTGTCTTAATGGCAGCGATTTTTATTTGGTCATAATAAATGCAAAATGTGAAATTATAGGTAATTTTAAATTAAAAAATACTTTATAATGATAAAAAAATTGTCTGTCTGTCTGTCACCACATCACGGAAAAGCTAGAGGGGTTTTGATGAAATTTGGTATGATAGCTGGTTATCCGGGTCAACATAAAGGATACTTTTTATTGCGGGAAAATATCTTATCTCTGAGAAATCTATACTACATGTTTAAAGTAGAGTATATACTCGTATAATAGTAAGATTTTAAATCCTTTAGGAGTCGCAGAGCTAGCAAATTTTCCTCTATATTTTTTTTTTATAAAAACTATACTATGAAAAAAAAATATTTCGATATATTTAATAGCAGATATAAATAAAAAAATGCTTCATTTATTGAATGTATATAACGTGCATGAAAATTGGAACTTTAAGTCCAGTAAGTTATCCCTTACTTTCCTCTTCTTAATCATTAATTGCAATTATTCAAAGTTTAATTGCTATTAACTAGTGTTGTAACAGCTAATAATTTACTTTTATCACATACTAGCATTGCCCGCGGCTCCGCCCGCGTTCAGATGACCAAAAACTAAATTCTTAGGTGTTACATATTAGTATACTCTTACATTGCAGTTTTTGTATTTTTCCTCAGAAATAAGATATTTTCCCGCGGTAAAAAGTATCCTAGGATCGCGCGCTACATCGCCCGGTTTATATAGCTTGAGCAGGCGGTCGAGCGATGCGGGGCAGAGGGGATGGACTCGCCGTAGGCATCTCAATGCTCGCCAAGCATTAAAAATGTTTCGCTACTAATTACTTCTAACAACGATATCTCAAAAACTATTCATCTGATTGATTTAGTGTAAAGAGCAATTTTAATCTGCATTAAATGACTAAGCTAACTAAAATATTCATTTGGATAAGGATTAATACCGAACTAAAGAAAATAACTTTGAAAATAACGTAATGTTTTTAATTAAAAATGTTAACATAAAAGTGGTTATTGTAAGTCAACCGTAAGAGATAGAGATATGCTATCGCGGACTTTTTTGTAGCATTTTTATAGATTTTGAATTCTCTAGTACATTACTTAACTGTATCTTTGCTAGTTTACGCGGCGTTCGCGTGGAAAGTTCCCATTTGGCGAGATTTTTTGCGACCTCTTCAACATTTGTCGCCGTATTTCAGCTAATTTACATAAAAGCATAATAAATTATATACCTAAACCTTCCTCAAGAATTACTCTTTCTATTGTTGAAAACCGTATAAAAATCCGTTCAGTAGTTTTCGAGTTTATCGCGTACAGACAGACAGGAGGACAGACAGGAGGACAGAAAGACGCGGCCGGGGGACTTATTTTTATAATAAGTATAGATAGATTATTTTTTATATACTTTACAAATTAAAAGATAATCAGTTAAAGAAGGTACTTTTTTACATTCTTCCAGGTGTGGGTCACCTTCCGGCGTCTACCAGCCGGGTGTGAAGCCAAAAGCCGGGTCTGACGACACGTTTGGTTCAGTTTGTAGTAACCCTATTTGCCAGCGGTCGCGGGTTCGAATCCCGCTGGGAGCATTCATTTGTGTGATGAGAACGAATGTTTGTACTCCAGTCTTGGGTGTTTATATTTATAATATGTATGTATTTAAAAGTTATATATGTGTATAATGTATCAACTATACCGGTATCCATAACACAAGCGTTCTAGCTTACCATGGAATTAGATGGTGCTGTATGTTAATGTCCCAACATATTTAGGTACTTATTAAAAAAAAGAGAGGTGCCATGCTGGATGCTCTTGGTATTTCTCTGATAGCAGAGTATACTCTGAGAGTAATCCCTTGATTGTTGTGGTCTGCTTCAGCGGGCCTGCCGTCGGAGCGTCGTAGTTGAATGCGTAAGAAATCCTGCGACGACCTATTAAGACGGGGGAGGTTCCGATGGATTTTAGTGTGTAATATTGGTTTTTCTAGCTGATAAGTTCCACATAACTACCTGTATGTATGCAGATGGTATGCGTAAATGCATTTCACAACGTTAAAAAGGCATTTTTTTACATATTTAGCTATCTTTTTGGATGGGTATTTTATTTTATTTCTAAAGCTGAGTAAATATGCTGCAAGTAAAACGCGATGAAAAGATTAAAAAAAATTATTAAAATGAATGACAGAAGCTTTTAAAGGGATATTGAGAAACCTATTTGTACTCTTATGAGCACTAATATTTTTTAAAGAAATATAATAGGATTTTTATATTAAAAGTTCAAAGTCATCATAATTTTATTACATTTTTGTATTCTTCAGGCTAGATTCATTGTATTGTTTTTTCTTGTATAATAATAATAAATTACTTACATGCTGTAAAGCATTCGAAACGTCGGGAATAAAAAATAAAAATAAATCCGCGAAAAATTCCGGAAAGATAGTTTTATTTATTATGATTTCTACTTCCAATGAACCATAGAAATTGCAGACGGACTGCTCAGACAATACTACTCAACAAATTAAGCATGTGACCTTTATATTTTGTACGTTACATTTATAGATATCAGTAAATCACGTAGACGTTTATTATTTTATTATTTTATTGACTACACACAGCACGTGTCTTTTTTACATTAATAACCGCGCCAATGCGCCGCTTCGGTCAAATTAAACAGGGTTTTTCATTATCATTGACACAGAAGCTTATTGCACAATCTCGAGAGCACTTTTGAGAGCGTTCCGATGACTATATTCGCTATATAATGATTTGAGTTGACCTTTGCAGTCATTACTGCAGAGAACGCGGGGGGAACATGCTGCGAGGATTCGCTTTCACGCTGCTCGTCACTCTCGGCGTCTCTTGTATGAAGATGAGGGAGACGGTTGAGCGCACCGTCATGGTCCGGACCACAGGCTCCGATCTCCAACCCGCCGCCACTGGCTTTATCTACAAGAAGCAAAACGATGGAGAGGAAAGTGTTATTGAAATGGGCGAGAGCGAAGTTATGGAACAGCTGTCCAAATTGTACACGGAACCTCAATCTTACGTCGCGCCTATCCCTATTAAAAAAGCATTTGAAAATAAAAATGGTGAAAATAAAGAAAAGTCGAAAGATGACGAACGCATTATTCCTGTGAAAGAAAAGGCAGAAGATGATCATGTTGGTCATGTAGACGGCATAGCAGATGATGATTATAAGAAGATTTTCGACGAATATAGTGCTCACTATGGTGACAATACAAGCTATGAAGATTATTTGCGCAGTCTGGGACATTTTGAGGATGGATATAAAGGAGGCAGCAAACAAGACGACGAAGGATATAAGGACAAAAACTACTACAAAAATGGTGGAACCGGGGACTATCATAACGAAAAATATGAAAGTTACTCCTTTTCAGGAAATGGGTCTCATGAAGATAGCGACGGTGACGCCGACAGACATCACTATGACAACAGGAAGATCCACAAAGGTCACAACGATGCTAACAGTAAAGAAAAATCTGACGGATACCGCAAAGTTTTCAATAAGGACCAGAAGTACAAGGACTATGGGCCATATGGTAACGACGGTAAAACGTTCCAAAATTACGGAAGTGTACACCATGGACTTGGATATGGAAAAGACGATTCCCATGAGTCAGGGCACCACGCAGGTATCCTCGTCAAACAGGACGAAGATGACAAAGCCAGCGGTGAACATGAACACAACCAATCTGCCGAAGATGAATCTTCCCAAGAAAAACATGGAGATTTCGGATCTGAAAGCCGACAGATTACAGACCACGGCTATGGCTTCAAAATTAAGCACTAACATTGGCGTGTTAAAGATATTAGTTATACTTTTGTTAACTTTTGTAAATACTTGTATTTAATTTATTTTTAGATAAAGATTTCTAAAGAACTTTTTTTTCTGTCGTTATTAAAACTTGACCTTCACAACTAATTAATAAAATATGCTAACACGAAACTGATTGAACTTTCTATTTCAAGATAATTCACCGAACAAAACGTTATAAATATAATAAAGCTATCCTACAGTGTCTTTCTCTGGCAGTTCGGGCGAAGAGAGACAGTCAACTACTAGCTAATTTTAAGTATACCTAGTATTACCTACTTAATTTATAAAAACCTGAATGCAATTTTAAAAAAAATACTACATATTTTTATTTTTATCTATATTAATGTGGAACTTACCTAATGTCCTAACGAGGCATAATGTCGAAAACTATTAAACATTTTTTGGACTTTTTTCAAATATACCTTGTAGAAACAAAAAATTAAAATCATCGCTGGTATGTTCACCATTATTTGATCTTATTTAGATTATGTAAATGGAGGTAGGTACATTATAGTCAAATCAATAAGTTACCATCTATACATATAATAAAATCGTAACTAAGCCGAATCTGTACATTAAATATTTTTTTGAAAATCTTATTGAAACAAACATTATTATCGACACAGAGCCCGAATCTATAGTTTTTAGATTTTTTGTCTATCTGTCTGTCTTTCTGTCTGTCTGTCTGTCTGTTACCGCATCACAGAAAAACCACTGGAGGGATTTTGATGAAATTTGGTATGGTGATAGCTGGTTATCCGGGTTAACATATAAAATACTTTTTACCCTGGAAAAATATCTTATTTCTGAGAAAAAATACAAAAACTGCACTGTAAGAGTATACTAATATGTAGAACCTAAGAATTTGGTTTTTGGACATCTGAACGCGTCTGAAATTATATAGTCAAAATCTAAAAGTAAGTAAAGCAAGGTACTGTGAAGAAAGCGTCGGACCCAATTTCTATAAGACACAGTGAGCCATCTTGACATCCCTGATTTTACTTAGATTATAACTAAATCCTGTGCGATATTTTTGCTTATTAGGCTGTATCTACCATTAAATAGGTATATTTTTATATTATACACAATTTTATGCGCTATATAGATCAGAGACACTAGGGTCTCCTATGACGGGCGTCCGTGATACATTAGTTTTTAACTCTATCAAAGTTTAATCATAATGATATTTCACGGAACTGTAATCAAACCCACGACTTCCAACGAAAAGACAATTAAGATTTAGAACCAATAAGTACCAAAAAACGTCATAAATTTTGTATCAACTACCAAATAGATACAATTTAACTTTCTATTGGCGGAAATATTTTCAGAATCAAATCACAAGTTCTACAGTTTACATCCTACATGCAAAGTACAAACACAAAGTTTATCTCTGTAAAATTAGTTTTAATAACCTATGCAGCTTGTCAATGAAAAGCGGAGAATAGAGTAAGTTTCTTTTGCAGGCAAATAAAAATAAATAAATTCAATTTAAAATTTTACTTCGAGGTCTGTTTCATTATATCTATTAATTCATATTTTTATTTTTTATACGTCTGATCTTTGATCTCGTTACAACAACTTAATGGATTAAATTAATTGTAGTAATTTATTTTAGAAATCTATTACCGGCTATTGTAACCTTTTATTCTTATTTCTAACTAGCGGCTCACGCTCACTTCGCTCGGGATCGCCTCTAGAAAAGCACAAACACATCTATCCCACGGGAACCTTCCATTTTTTCGGAATAAAAAGTAAACTATTTGTTATTCTGATGTATGAACTATATTATTATAAACTTTCATTAAAATCCAATCAGTAGTTTTTGTGTACTAAGGTGTATAAGTAATTATAGTTTTTTAACTATCCCACGGGAACTCTAATTTTCCGGGATAAATAGTATCTAAGATGTTGCTTGGGGGTATAAGGTACCAGCATGCAAAATTTCATTTAAATCGGTCCAATAGATTCGAAGATTAGCCCGTACAAACAGACAAACAGACAGAGAAACTAAAAATTTGAAAAAAATCTGGATTTCTTTTATTTGTCTTCTTGTATCCCCCTAACTCGCATTTTTTTCTATGTATAGACATTCGACCTCTACTGTTTTATTATAGTATAGATATTTCGTATTCACTTCACAATCAATTGAGAAATAACATGAGGCACAATACTTATATTCTGAGTGTTTTTAAACCTATAAAAATAGGCCATTTTTACTTTATTGTACATATTATCTGTTAGTATTATCTTTAACATATTAAAATTATTAATACAAGAATTAACGAATTTAAAAAGGACAACACTAAAATAAGAATTCGATTTACAATTAACGAAAATATCCCTTTTTAAGTTGGTCAAATTGAACATTTGATACAATGTATGTTGGGGAAATTCATCTATTTCAAATAATAGAAACTACTTAGGTATTTACCAGTAGCGAGATAGGTAATACCAGCTGTTTCTATAGTAAATACTTTCTGATTCTTGTTACCAACTAGCCACTCACCTTCGCTTCGTTCGGGTGCGTAGATACGTTTTAATTTTTTTGACCGAAACCCTAATTCTTTTTCTAAAATAAAAGTAGCCTAAGTTACTACTTATAACAGCAACTATCTGCCAGTGAAAGTCCCGTCAAAATCAGTCTACCCATTTCGGGGGTTAGCGGGAACAAACAGACACACATAATTTTTTTTAATTGTGTTTTTCTTCTAAGCACCGTACATAATTTCGTATGCATTTAGTAAAAAGCTGTTATTTTGACATTATTATTATTAACAGACACTTCAATTTTATTTATCTATATAGATGAGCTATTGCAATCTGCATATTTCCTCTTAAAAACTTTTACATTTGCAATTTAAACTTCTCAATAAACTTAACTAATAGTAATTACAACTATAATTTATTATTCTTAAATTAAATAACCAAAACCATATTGACCAACAAGTGAAAATAAGTAAATTATTCTATTATATATTTGCTACCTCATTAGCGAGCACAAAATTATTTCGCGGCGCTTGACCGCGCCGCGTGGTCGGTGCTCGTATTACGTTACCTAATTTTTTCATTAACATCGTCTTTGTCACCTATAACCTCGTGGTAAGCGATCTGTTACATGGCTACGAGAAATGCTTCGGCACACTCACTGGCTGTGGTTCCAATCACGATATAAATATTAGGTAACGTGGTTATGAAATTATTACAGCACAGGTTGTTCAACAGGAAACATCTCACCATCTCAATATGAAAACTGCAATGGGCTTGTTTTGTGTGATGGCGTGCGTCTCGGCAGTGCAGGTCGGGTTCGTCGCCCCAGCTACTAGTTACATATACCGGAGCGACAACGGCGGACCAGCCAGCTTCGTCCAGGTGGGAGCCCACGGCTACCAGCAGCCACAAGCCTTCGCAGCTCCCTTACCCATCGTCCAACAACACAAACATTTGGAGGCTTACGACATAGCACCTGTACCATTGCCTTATGTCGCTGCGAAACCAATTATCGTGGAGGACGCTGAAGACGATGATGACAGCTCCGACGAGTCCGAAGAAAGCGGTGAAGATGGGTTAATAGGGTATGGAGCCGGTCACGAGGCTGGAGGAGGCAGTTCATATGGCGAACAGCATCATGCTGCTCACGGTGAAAAGGGCAGCAAGGGTTACCACAGTGTTGGCCACCATGCCAAGGGCGCTGCCGGAAATTATGGTAAGGAGCACAAAGAAGGACACTTTAACGAGGTTAAAGGAGAGAAGGGAGCTCATCACGACGAAGCCGATGCTCATGGAAACCATTTTGAAGCTGGTAAAGGCTATGAAGGAGGCGATCACGGCCACAAGAAACATTTCAGCAAAGGTGAGGAGGTGACTGGGTACCACAAAGTTTTCCACAAGGATGAATACAAGAAAGACCATGATTTCTATGACGTAGCTGATAAGAGTGGCAACTTCAAGAAGCACGGTTTCCAGGAAGCACACCATGGGTCTGAAGAAGGTGAACACAAGAAGGGCGATCACAGCGACTCTGGTTTCAAGAAGGGCGGATTCAGTAAAGCTGGTTTCCACGACAAGGGGCATTTAGATGAGGCAGAAGAAGGCCACTCCGCCGAGGACGGTGCCGATAGCCACTACAATCACCAAGAAGATTACGGCAAAAAGGGCGGCAGCAGTCACGAGAAGGAATACGCATTCGCTAACGCCGATGAGTACGATGATGATGACAAACACGATGATGAATGAATTTTAATTTAAATTTGATTAACTGTTGACTAATTTATTGCTATTCTTGGCTATTTTGTTATGTTTGATACTAGATGGAGCTGTAAATATTTTTGTATAGCAGATGTGTAAATAAAAAAAAAAGTAAAAATAAAAATTTCTTTTTACTATATAAAAATCATCTATCAGATCTACAACTATCTCATATATCCATACATTATAATAACAGAATTTGTATTATTTTTTTAGTAAGCGTTTTCTTACTTACATTTCAAATTAAATCACAGTAAGTAAATATTTAATAAACCTAGTACCTACTCGTAAACTATAAAAGGTTTTTTTTCAAGTCCAATTCTAAATTTCACAATTGAGATTCGAATAAAATTTTATTATCACATCTAAACAACTATATTTTTACAGATTGGTTAGTTTTTTAATTTTTAGTTTACTACTAAATAATACTTCTTACGCGAATATTTGACAGTTTAAATAACTTCCAGACCATGATTGCTTTAGAACATTCGAATCGGGAATAAAAAATTAATAGCCGCAAGAAAAACTAAAAAAATAGTTTTAATTAGGTATTTAATATTAACACTATTTGCACAAGTTACTAGTGTATTATGTAGGGACGCATAAAAGTGGGACAGATCACAGAATTTCATGTGAGTAACAGCATAAGATTAGCAAATACTTTTCCAAAATCCAGTAGATCAAAAAATGGGCGACTTTTTGCATGATATGATTTCAAAGTTCAAACCATTTTAAACGCTAGACCTTTATCATTTGTCATACATATCTGTAAAATAACTCGAATCTAACGCTATTTGAGGACAAAACACATCTTCCAGTGCCAGCAGGCGACAGCCGATGCAAGAGATGGAGTTAAAAATTAATATTTAATTAAAACCATTTCTTATTTCTTATTCATTTGCTACATATTGTATTCTTTTTATGTGTGCAATAAAGAAATAAATTCCTTAATTATAGATTGATTTGTTATAAAGACAAATAAACTAATAATTTAATTGTAATTAAATTAACCGTTAAGTTCTGACGGTTAACACTAGAGATGTCCTTGAATATTTTTGAAATCGATTTTTTTATAATGATTTAGCGTAACGTACTATGACTAATCTAATTTGTTATTAATAAAAATTATATTATGTTGGTACACTATAAATATAAATTATCTATGGCATTTACAAGTTATTTCAATGAATGCTATATATAGGTTGATATTTATTATTATAAAATAAAAAGTTTTTTTTTTCTATTTATTAATGTCAAGTATGAAGAAATTTGTATTTTGTAACAATTACATTTAATTAATGAAAATTTAACATTCAAGTAATGTATAACAATTTTAAATTTATCCAAGTACTTATAAGTAGGTATACTAAATTGAAAGAAAAACAAACAAATCACACGCTTATTTTGAAAATGTAGTGAAGCATGTTCAAATTCTGGATTTCGTTCTTCTGAGATTTCCATATACAAATACGTCTGCCAAGTGCCAATCGCATTTGTCTAATGTGGTGGGCTATAGCCTATCCCTTTTGCTTTGAGTGCCCAATTGCACAATGGAACGTTATCAGGATTAAATTATAATTTTACTTAAATATGATTAAAGCTATTTTTAAGGCACTCAGCTTATATAATTATATTTGGGCATTCGGTCGAAAAAACGTTATAAGTAGAATAATCTAACAATACTAGCATTGCCCGCGGCCCCGCCCGCGTTCAGATAATCAAAAACCAAATTCTTAGGTTTTACATATTATTGTACTCTTACATTACAGTTTTGTATTTTTTCTCAGAAATGGAACATTTTCCCGCGGTAAAAAGTATCCTATATGTTGACCCGGATAACCAGCTATCACCATACCACATTTGATCAAAATTCTTCCAGTGGTTTTCCTGTGATGCGGTAACAGACAGACAGACAGAGAGACAAAAATTCTAAAATCTATATATTCGGGCTCTGTATCGATAATAATGTTTATTTCAATAAGATGTTCCAAAAAATATTTAATGTACAGATTCGGCTTCGTTACAATTTTATTATATGTATTGATTTGTAGATTTGAAGTATTGAATCAGAATTGAATTTAAAATTAAATTATACATATTTTCATTTTACCGTGATATATAGAATATAGAATAGGCCCTTACTATATCGAACGTAGTGCCGAACCTTCTTTTCCAATTAGTACCTTTTAGAAAGGAATATATGTCCTTTGACTAAAGAATGTATGTTCTACGTCTTTTGCCTTTGAACTTTATTAAATAAATAACGTAATAATATTCATTGCCTCGTTAAATTATGTATCTCTGCATAGCCTAAAATACATACGACTTAAAGCTATGATAGAGTATAATTATCATTTAAGAAGTTTCAATCTAATAGCTTATTCTGGAAAGATGGCTTGTAAATTATAATGATTTTTTTGTTTGTTACTACCTTGACCGATCCATGTCAGTGAACCGATTAGTTGTATCGATTAAGATGCAACCACGTGGAACTTGGAATGAGATTTAAAAAAACTTACCCTTGTTCACGAATTTACAACAAAGGCTATATAAACTAAACATAATGCATGTATGTCAGTGTCGTAACCTACTTTGATTGTGCAAGATCCAATAAAAAATTAGAGCATAATGCAAAAGAAATTATTTTTTATACTGTCACTGACATTAATTTTACGTTGGGTTAAATCATTACCATTGGATTTAGGTTCATTGGAGTACGATAATCTTGAGACTGATTTATCAAATTTGAAATACGAATCTAGTGGAAGAGATTTAAATGATTTTTTTAAATCTACCAATGAAAATGTTGCAAGTGATAGAAGTGATAAAAACAAATCAAAAGTTAAAACAGATATTTCTGGCTTCAAGAACAAAAATTCGGCCAGTACAGGATTAAATCTAAAGTATAATATTGAAGATTTAAAGAAATTCTTCAAACAAGTTGGTTTAAACGATGCAGGATCTTATGATGATGGTGCAATTTATGGAATAGTCAAAGGATTAGCTAAAAAGGGGGTTGGCATCACGGGAAATGAAGAAAGGAAATATAAAAAAGGGACTAAATCTAAAGGATTCCATAATATTTCTCATAAAGATGAATATAATCGGAATAATGAATTTTATGAAGAAGATGAAACCAGTGGGGTAATAAAAAAAGTTGGTGCAAAAGGACTAGGATTCGAATCACGAGCTGGTGCAGGTCTTAAAAAGGGGTATTTTCATCATGATCTTGACAAAGGACTGTTCGGCAAACAAGGTGTTTCAGATAAAGGAACTCTTAATAAGGACTATGAAAAATTCGCTGATTCTCAAGGATTTGATGCTTATTTCAAAAGTAGTGATAGATAATAGGTATTTTTAATTATAATCTTAGACCTTACACCAATTACATGGATTTTTAAAGAAACCTATAATTTATTGTTTTTAATAATTCTGTATGTTGAATTCTTACTTTAAAAATAAATAAATCATACTTTAGAGTGATGTGTCTTATCAATAAATCATTCAAAAATGAAATGCGTTTGTGATCGTAATATTTGCGCTCCACATTTAATATCAGTTGCTAATAGTTATATACTTATAAAGGGTATGTATGTGTAAAAATCACTTCAGTGTAGTGTCGGTAAGAAATATGTAATTTGATTACATTTCTTTTATATTAAATATGGAATTCAGATTATTACATATTAAAGGTAACATATGTTTCAAGAGACAAGAAACTGAGAAAGCAAAAGTAGTTTTAAGTTTGTGAAAAAAAAGTATTATGACAGGGGCGTTTTTATTTTTTCAGATTTACTTTACCTTGGGTGCCTTAACTACATATATTGCTTACATTTACTTTCGTCTAATAATAATCACTACAATCCATCGTGTTGTGGTATTTTTCCATATGGAGCTCAATCAAATTATCCGTTCATGCTGAATTTTGAAACTGACCCTGTTAGTGGACAAAAAAGCTTTGGTCTAAATTTACCAACTCCATTTGAGAGCCCCGATGAAACACAAGCTTCTCAGAAAGCGTATAGCTGTTCGCTACTTATGTGTTCCGAAGATAAATCAACGCCAGTGTGCGCCTGCAATTTTATCACGGGCAATGTTGTAACATTTAAAAATAGTTGCGATATGAGCAAACATAATTGCCGGTTTGACACAGGTAACTTTTTGTCGATAGAATTAATAATTATACATTTATTTATAAGAAGCTATATTAAAAATTTAAGCTTTTTAGGAATTACTAATAAAACATTTTCTTTTTTAGCATTCAAAGTAATATTAAATGAGATATGCCCATGGGAATTCAAATCTCGTCGTTCTAACAATGAAGTCGAATTGGATTACAGTGATCCCAAGTACTATAATAATATAGATTAAGATGTAATTTATTTAAAAATAAAAAAAATATTAATGAACATTTATTTTAATACTGTCAGTTTCTGTATATTAATTTTTGTATTATAATTAAATCAAGGTACAAAATATTTATAAAAGGTATGTAATTGAAATGAAATAATAATGAGGCAGTGATTTAATTTACTTAGAGGATGCTTTCTGAACTAACGATAACATTTTGTTATATTATTTATTTAAAATATTAAGATTGGAAGCTGTAAATTTTCATGCAATAATTTTTAGAAATGTGTAGATATAATGAAAAATTAGGTCCATACGTTTATGTTTTAAAGAAATATTGCGTACAGTAGAAGTTATTGGAATATAAATTATTTCGAGCGTTTTTTTTATCAAATGAAACTGATTTGCTAAAAAAAATCGAACAGATCTAGGTTAACGTATACTGAATCTAATGAGACAAAAATTCACTCATTTCGTAAACGTTTAGGGGGGTAACGCTGAAGACTGAAGCTAGTTCTACTATTTGCTGGAAGAGAATATTCATTTCAATTCAATTCTCTTGTAAAGAATTTTGTTCAATTTTTTTGTCTTTTGTAGAGAATATTCTCTTCGTCCATAGTTGACTATAATAAATTTATTTAATGTACCTAGTTTTAAGCAAATGAAATTATTTTAGAGTATTTAAATTTCTGGATATATTAAGTTATATGTATGTGTACATATATTATCATATCGTATATGTAACATCGATAGTAGGCAATTATCGATTACATAACATACGATTTGATATTCATCGACACGTACCGAATAAATTGATATAAAATTGGAAGCACTAAAATGATAACACATGTTTTATTGTCTATGCTTATTGAATATTGTCACTTTTGCTGTCAATATTCTCTATAGTCTTTGTCCATCTAAATGAATTGAAGTGTTTGTGTTAATGATTGTGAAACAAAGAATATTACAATACGAAATAGATGAGGCTCAGTAGAGAACACCTCTTTAACAATACTCATGAGTACGGAAGAGACTCTGTTGAATCTCGATTTCGACAAGCCCAACACAGGCATTACGCCTCCCGATGACGGCGTGGTGTCTCTGTCCAGTAGTGCCGAGGACATTTGTTTAGTGCCAGAGGTCGGATTCGAAGGAAACGTGGATTCTCCAGGTGTAAATCGTGAGTCGCAGCCGCTCCTTGGCGGCCGCGGCGACTTGGAAGTCTCTTTCAACCATTTTCCAGGTAATAATCAATTTAATTTGCTTACGACTACTATTTCGCGTAATTGATATCGTCTAGACGACATCTTTCAATAACTATTGTATTCAAACGTTTGTGTCGCTGAAAATACATAGATTTGTAGTTATTTGACCTCACGAACTTTTGTAAGGTTTCCTCTAAATTAATATGACCAAATCATTGCTTCTTTCATATTGTCATTTAGCCAAAATACGACATGAATGGACAATTTAACCTTGACATAAAATATATTATCCTCATTTAGTTGTTTTTGTTTTATGTAGTAATTTTAAGCTTCAAACCAAACTTCAGGTCATTGCTGACTAATAAAAAATAATTGTTTTTTTCCAAAGAGTAAATATTGTGTGTGAATATAGGCACAGATAAACATTTTCATGTCAATTTTCAGTGGAGTGTAACAGCTGTGTAGTTTTCAGGCTTTGTTTTCAGTAATTCATTTGTGATGGAATTCCCTTTTCAATGTAGTAAGTTAACTATTCATTTGATTTTATGACATTTTACAAATCTTATTTACATAAAAATATTGAATATCAGTTTTAGGTAAAAACAAGTTATCCATATGGCACATTTGTATTTTGATAGACTAAAGTATTATTATATATTAATACTAAATTAGAATTGGGGATAAACTACAAAAGCTTATGATATAAAATATGTTTTTTACGTATAAAGTATAATAATCTTATTATGGACATTTATTTTTTATCTTTTTATCTAATCATCTACTTACTATAACTAATGGAAAATTTATTTGCTTACAAATTATATATTATTTCTTAAAAACAAACATTAATCATGTGCACTATATCATGTACAGTCTTATATATCTTAAATGAAGTAAAATGTTATTATAATATAAATATATTCTTTAAATGCTTAAAACCACTGATATTATTATACAAGTCTCTTTTCATTGAATTCCAAACAAATTAACTGGCAATGACTTTAAAAACTGGTATCATTAAAAAATCTAGTTAAACTAATTAAAATGAAATATTTTTATAATAGCATTGAAAAATTATGCTAATTTTTATAAACAAATTAAGCATGTTTTTTTATTACCTGCTTTAATCATAGTTTACAAATATGTATTACAATACATATTTATTTACATAAATTTACTATTTATTATTAATCCTACATGTATATATATAATTATTCTTATTGTAAGAATGTATATAATATATTATATTTAAAAATTTATATATAATTAAAAAAAGAGAAAAGAAGGAAATTCCTTGCTAAGCATTATCATGTTTTTTACGTAATTTTGTGTATGTATGCATATTATCTGTGAGTCAAAAGAGAGAGGAATAAAATATTGTTCTAATGTTTAAGCAACTGGGAAACAAATATAAGTTGGTAAAAGTTACAAAACTTCTTTAAAGCCAGATTTTCATTTTTTATATTAGTTGTTGTCTCGGACGAAACATGTCCACTACTAGGCATAGGCCTTCCCCCGAGATTTCCTTGACTGTGGGACTTTTATATCAGTGTCTACTTGTTACTCTACTATCATTAAGTAATTATTTGTGTACTAGCGACTCACCCTCGATTTGTTCAGGTTTGTCCCTTTGTACATTTTATTGGTTGTTGGAATAGAAAAACTCTCAAAAACAATCTATCCCATGGAAACCATACATTTTTCGAGGATAAAATGTAACCTATATGCTATTCTAGACTATAATCTGTGTGCCAAACTTCATCAAGATCCTTGATTGAGTAATAAACATCCATCAGTCTAAACTTTCGCATTTATAATATTGAAGGGATTATAATGGGTTTAATTCTACATAGATAAATTTTGCGCTTTAATGTGACTCTAACTTTTGTGAAAGTAAATAACACAATTGAAGTTAATTAAAAGAACATAATTGTTTTCTTTTCTAAAGCACACATTATGAGAGCTCGAGTATTCTACTTCTTCTAAGTTTTCTACTACAACCTGATTATTTATGTTAATAACAGTTGTTTTTTTACCATTTTGTAATTGAAAATTAATTTTTTAACAAGCAAATGATATTTAAGATTAAACTGAAGTAGTTTAAAACACATGAAACATCTTAAACTCAACTGAAAGAAAAGCCTTTATATGTTTTGTATACATACAAAAATAACATGCAGGTAGTAACAATACTTTAGTTCTAATTATACTTATTAAATTCACCAAGTCAGCTGAGTTTTGGAACACAATGCACTTTGAAGTATTCTTGTGATTGCGAGATAAGCTGTAAGCAAACTATGAGTTCAGTAGTGTTACACTACACAAAAGGTAAAATGCTTTACATCTTCTGTGAGTGAGGTTGTGTCGTTGATCATAAAATGTAATTGAGTATTTCAAACTAGTGATTTACATATGCTTTGCTTGGATTACATACCCAGGTGTCTTTATTATTTATAATATTATACTAGCGACTCACCCCTCGCTTCGTATGAGTTCATCCTTAGGTGATTCTTAAATTGACATAACTTTTTTATTTATGAACCCGATTCAAATAAAAAAAAATACTAAATGTTAAGTGAGGCTTACCACAATACTTTAGTAGTGAAAATTGCAGCCAGTTTAGCCGTTTCTGAGATTGGCGCGCACAAACACACGGACAGAGACGATAATTCTAAAAATTGTATTGGGTTCTATTGCATTAATAAATACCCTCAATAATAGTTTTTCTCAAATATCTTCCATGTGCAGACGGCGATCAATTACACTTTTATTTTACATATTTTTATATATAAATATAATAACTAGCGACTCACCGTCGCTCCGCTCGGGTTTGTCCGTAGTGAAGATTTAGGTTTGTTTGTATTTTTAATGCAGAATCATAAAAAAGATAAAAAATTTTTTTTAGTGTGGACCACCCTTATTACTTAGGGGTATGAAAAATAGTTTACATCCTATTTTCAGACCTACTGAATATACACACAAAATTTCATAAGAATCGGTCAAGCCGTTTCGGAGGAGTTTTGTTACAAACACTGTAACACGAGAATTTTATATATTATTAGATTAGATACTGTATAGTAGATGAATAGATATAGGCCACACCAAATTTTAACAAATTTATCACCCACAGTAACAGCCAAGTAATGAACTATCAGTGTACTAAATTTCGTTCAAAGTTTAGGCGTTTCAGAGTCAAGGAGTAACAAACAGACACTTTCGTATTTATAATAGTGGTTTGATTTTAGAAATTTTAGGTTTAGACTTGAAAATAGGTAGCCTTCAAACATGTGGTACAATACTACTCTTATTTTAACTATACTTGCTTGGTCATGTGCCCTCATAATCGTTATTGCTTAATTCACCTCCTGTGGGCATTGAACTTGCGACCACCTCTAACCGTCAGTACACTCAGATATTACGTTAGATTGTTACTTTATAATACTTATTTATCTTATAAATGTCTTTATTTAAAGTCTCGCCTCTCAAAAAACTAGTTGGGCACGTGCCGACATTTGAAATTTAAAATTATTTTCGTATCATAAAGAACATAATTACTCGAGTCTGTAACAGAAAGATTTGAATGAAAATGCTGTTCACCTTAATTCTACTGGATTGCCTTGTTCTGTGACCTATTGAAGACGCAACATCACATGCGGGGTCATGGTGTTCGTACATGATGGGGTTTTAAATCAATAGGCACAATTCGGGAAGCTATAACAATTTAATATGCCATAAAATTAAAGTTCAATATACTTACAGAAGTATACAAAAAACATAATTTTAATATATTTATACTAATATCAGAATGCTAAAACAACTATATGCCTAAACTATTTCATAGATAAGTATAATAATGTTATATGTACGTTTGCACGTATAGACCTATTTAATCTGAAGGTAACCTTTGACTCGCCAAATTGTACTCGATTTGCACCAATTTATTTATTTACATTTAACTTTTTAATTTAGACACGTTATCAATCGAAAAGTATGTGTATAGGTACTGTATTTAACTTCGAGGTTACATATTTTATGTATTAAGTTGGAGGTTTTGCACGCGACTTCTCTAATTGACCTTAATGTCAATTGTTAATCCGAAAAGATAGTTTTATTTAAAATTAGTAGAACCCGCGGCTTTGCTCGCGCTAAAACTACAACAAAAAACTCTAAAATGGTAGGTTTCATACAAACTTTCATCCGCTATTTTACTCCCTTATGGGATGAAGTTCGAAAAATGCTAAAACACGTATTTAATTAATTGTATTGAAGAGCATTTATACCAAGTTTCAAGTAATTCTGATCATAAATATTTTTTTGGATTGTATTATAACGTGTTTTCCCCTTGGGAACGAGATAACCTCCCGCGGTAAAAAGTCGCCTGTGTCACTCTCCAGCCCTCCAACTTTCTCCACACAATAATCACGCCAATCCGTCACTCCGTTTCGACGTGAAAGAAAGACAATATTTAAGTATGGATGTCAAATATTCGGATAAATCTAAGAAAATATTATGATGTAGTTCATTAAACATTTTAAAGGAGCAATAGGGGAGAGTGGAAGACGAATACTTACTACGCCGACCCCAAGTAATTTGGGAAATGGGCAGGGAGATGATGATTTTGAAGAAGTGAGTGATGATATAATAAAGTTTCGCATTTTTTATTTCAAAAATATACTTAGTTACAATTTATTAATATTAATTTCTTATTGTAAAAAATAATTGTAACGTAAATGCATATCACAAAACGGATTTCAGGTGCTTATAGCAGATTATCCTCTTCATTTCTCCCTTTCCTCTCTCTTTCTTCTCTCGCCTTCTAACGAGAAGTCGACGGACTGGCAACAGCTGAGTGGGTCGGTTACTTATAACTACTTTGTTACTTTCATTGTCTAATAAATATAACAAGTTATCTGTTAAATAATTTTAGACGACGTTATACGATCCCTCGAAACCTGAGCGCGCCGTACACAAGGTATTCGTGCGGTTCCACACTAATTGAATTTACTCCATGGTCCCATGAGGAGTCCCTTCTCTAACTGTAAGAAATAATTTATGAATTATATTATGTACACAAAAATAAGGGGTCTTCTGATGAGGGATAAAGCATTTAAGAATACGTTTTTTTAATCCCCAACCCAAAAAGAGGGGTGTTATAAGTTTGACATGTCTGTCTATGTATGTTTGTCTGTCTGTGGCATCGTATCCTAAACGAATGGACCGATTTTGATGCGATTTTCTTTTTATATTTCTTTTCGTATCAGATAGTGGCTAAAATATTCGTGTCAGAGCTCGTCACTAAAAATGCTGACATATTGTTAACGATCATTACCAATCCGATAACAACTTCCGAAACACGGGAACGTTTAGTTTTTACGCCACTCATCTATCGAGTACTTGCGACTGTCCCAGTTAAGTACTTCACTTCGGTAACATGCTATATTCTTAAGATGTAAAAATAAGTTGGTAAGAAATTGTCGACATTTACATAACATTTCTAGAAACAATATGTGGTTGGAATAAAGCGAGATTGTATATTTGAGCTACGTTTTTTCTGCTCGTATTTTCATGTAAGCCACACCACCTCATGAAAGTGCAAGTATACAAAAGGTATACATATAAATATACACAAAAGGTATCAAGCCTTACGTAAGAAGACCCGGTACAGTACAGGTGTGAGAGCCAGTTGCAGTTTTTCTATTACGTTTTCTTACATATTCTTTCTTGTTAAAGTAAGGTTTCTAGTTCATATTATAAATCGTATATTAGAAATTAACATTCATTGATAACAGTTGGATGGAGAAGTAGTCAATTTATTGATATTTCTATCTATGCATATAATAAAATCCTGAGTCGTATCTGTACATTTAATGTTTTTACTGACAATTTGATATGACATTTGAGAGATCAGTCGCAGGATCGACAGCTTTACATGCTCTACGCACCGCCCACTTCTAGCTGCTACTAAAAATTTCTTAATAAAAAACCCAACAATACATATTCATAATATGTAGACCTATTCGTAATATTTAAACACGTACCTACTTTTTTATATGAGAATAAAATTGTGCCATACGAGATGCTTAAGTAAAAATGTATTTTTTTAACTATAACTTAATTAAAATCTGTGGGCAAATGAAAACGCCTAAAGATATGAGTATGCTAATTATATTAAGTTGTATCATTTATATGTTTTAAAGCTTTACGTCAATTGTGGAATTTGGGGTCAATATTAAATGTTTTTTCAAACCTGTTCACATAAGATTTGAAATAAAAACTTAAAAAAAAACCGACTTCCAGGAAGTACGATGTAAAAATTAACTAAACGGGGGTGTTCATTTAGAATAGATAGCTACCTAATCAGATATTTTCGAAGTCGGTGCCGAAATCATCCCTTAAGGGGTTAAAAAAGGGGATGAAAGTTTCTATTGGGACGCCAGCTAGGGACGAACACGAACGAAGCGAGGTTGAGTCGCTAGTTGTATAGATTTAGTAAAAAAAATCCCTTTTGCGTGCTATGTACTAAATAAATTTTAGTGTCTACTTTTGTTAAGTTTTCAAATATTTTGATTTCATTTTTGACTTTGGTTTCTGCTGAAATTGAAAATTCTATTGTTTTAATATAATAAGAATGTAAAGTATCTAGAAAACATTCTACAGACATTGCATAAGTAACTAAGAGATATGATTATTTTTAAGAGTTACGTGCCTATTTTATATAGAGTTCGACGGTATATTTTAACTCTACGTCTACAGTGTACGTTAAAACCTACGGTTTACGACCTAGTGGGCAGGTTTGTATTGGCATTGCGCCAAATAGCCCTCGAAAGGTCAAGGTTTTACTTTTGTAAGTACATATATGTGTAACTGTCGCGGCTTTGCTCGCTGGCATATATGAGCGTACAGCATCTTCTACATCTTCTATATAATAAAATATTTAAAAATTAAATTACCTTCTATATAACTAAATAAAAATTAAAAATGGTTGTTGGGAAGCGCTTCATTTGAGAACAGCTGGATTTTTTTTGGAGTCCATAGGGAACATACATACATATATCGTTTTTCATATTATTATATATTATTGTATATAGATTGAGATTTTTGTCGTGTTCCAGATGACCCGCAGTTCAGCGAGCTGTTGTGGCAGGCGGAGGTGGCCATCGACAATGGGATATTCCCCGAACGGATATATCAGGGCTCGAGTGGCTCCTACTTCGTTAAGAATCCTGGTGGGGTAAGTTTGTGGTCTTAGTACTACTACAGTATAAAAAAAATGTATACAATAGACAATCGCCATTGATTTTTATCCGAATATTATGAAGCCCAAAGGAGGGTTATCAATTAGCTGCATGCTGGATATTACTTTCTTAGATTTATGCGACTATTTGACTTTTTAAATAAAACTACCTCTTCGGACTTTTTCCAAAAATCAAAATAAATCCGAGAAAGAATTCGAAAAGATAGTTTTATTTAAAAATCTGGATCTCAACAACGCCAGCTACCGGGTCCAACTATACCTAACTAAAAACCATCTGAGGTCACGCTGGTTAAGTGCAGGTTGGCGGACTTCACATGTCTTTCGAAAACTTACTAGGTTCACTCAGACACACAGGTCACGATGTTTTTCTTCACCGTAAGACAAATGGTAATCATGTTACAAATGATTCGCCCATGAAAATATCAGAGGTGAGAGACCCGGGATTTGAACCCGCTTCCTCGATTTCCCAAGCGAGCGCGTCACCACTGGGCTATCATTGCCTCGATGTGGTAAGACGAGTCGCAAAACAGGTTGTGTGACATTGAATCGCGTTGCATAATTTTAACGAAGTATGTAATGTGTAATAATTATGTATTTATCGGTCTCCAGCTCTCGCTTCACTAATTATGAATATTATTACATTTAAATTATAGATTAAAAAACTAGATACACTTTTAACCAACCGACAAACAAGTTTTAATATATGGTAGTCGTCATATGAATCGAATGAGGTCAAATTCGAAGGTCACTTGTAGCCATTCAGAGTGAGGGTGTTCTGGCTCCATAATTTAATCAGGTCGATGATGTCAATATATTATATTATATTTTCATATTTGCTCTGTGATAGAAGGAAAATTCGTTATACTAACGAATGAATAAACACTTTCGTATTTATAGTACTACTAGCAACTCAGCCTTGATCCGCTCGTGTACCACCCTAGATCCTTAACAGTAGCCTATGTGGTCCAGTTCGTAATCTATCTCTGTTCTAAATTTTATCAAAATTCGTCCAGAGAAAAAGAAGTATTCTCAATGTTTGGTCGTCACAAGTTTCTATCAAACAGACGGACAAAACATAAGATTTATTATTTACATACATATAAAAATGTAAGGAAGACACGTATGTATGTATAATTTATATCGTAACATACTCAGGGGACTTTGATCTATTATTCATTATTATGTTATGCCACAGCGCTACGCGTCCGTCGCACTAATAAAACCAATACAACAAATTATTATTGAGATTGGCGACCTGAATCATCTAAATTGTATTTTGTCAAAACTAGTCAATTTTTATATCCCTATCGCTTAGCTCTTGCTCTCGGTTTTACTCGTGTATAATTTTAAAAACTTAAAAATTATAGTGTCTAAAGTAATAGTGCCCTGACCGATTTCGGCCACGGCAGCCAATCGCATTGAGACTAGCCATCTGTGCAGGAGACATTATAGTGTACAAGTGTGCGCGCAAACAGATATGTATATCTGTCTATACACTCTTCAGTCTTCATGTATTTTATTCTCAAAGTCCGATGGATACTTTGACACGACCGGTAAGAGTTATGGCGCAGGACCGACGCGAGACGCGCTCTCTGTAACTGGGAATTTCTTAACAAAAAAGTCAACAATTAAACTGATGATCTGACCGATTTTTTTTAAATCTGAGAGGAATCATTAAATTCGGGTGGATGGTTCTTGTGTCATGTTTTTTTTTTAATGACTAGAAATTTCATTTCTTATAGAAATATAAAAAAACCCATCGAACTTTGAATTTGGTATTCTTTTTAACTTAATATGTTGTTGTTGGGATATTAACACACAACACCATCTAGTTCCATGGTAAACTACTTAGCTTGTGTTACCAGATAGTTGATGCACTACAAAGTGCACATATATAATTTTAAATACATACGTACTATAAATATAAAGACCCATGACTGAAGTACAATCATTCGTGCTCATCACAAATGAATGTCCCTAGCGGGACTTGAACCCGCGACCACTGGCACAGCAAGTAGGGTAACAACAAACTGAGCCAAACGTGTCGTCAATAATAACGTTTATAAATTAATTATAACTTTTAAAAACGATAAAAAAATTGACTACGTAACATCGATTATTCTTACAGCCGCTGCAGCTAATCTTTCACAACGTCTACACTCTAGGTCTTCCTATTTTTTTAATCTATGGGATTTCTAGGATACCTACGTATATAATCTTGCCTAATGCTTAAGTAAATACTGCAAGGACTCTTCATATCGTTTAGCACTTATTTGTTTGCGTTTTTGTATGTACATTATTGATTACGAAGTTAAATAGCTAAGGTCTCTATAATAGGGTTCTCAATTAAAACATATTTACGTACATATTTTGCAATGACAGCAATTTTCATCAAAATCTATGCAGTAGTTTTCTCGTGATGCGTTCCCAGGCACAAAAATTCTAAAAACTATAGATTCGGCCTCTGTATCGATAATAATTACTATTTCAATAGGATTTACCAAACAAAAAATTTATGTACAGATTCGTGTCAGCTATAATTTTATAATATTACTAGCATTGCCCGCGGCTCCGCCCGCGTTCAGATGACCGAAAACCAAATTCTTAGGTTTTACGTATTAGTATACTCTTACATTGCAGTTTTTGTATGTTTTCTCAGAAATGAGACATTTTCCCGCGGTAAAAAGTATTCTATATGTTGACCCGGATACCCATCTATAATCATACCAAATTTCATCAAAATCCCTCCAGTGGTTTTTCTGTGATGCGGTAACAGACAGACAGACAGACAAAAATCTAAAAACTATAGATTCGGCCTCTGTATCGATAATAATATCTATTTCAATAAGATTTTCCAAAAAATATGTAATGTACAGATTCGGCTTAGTTAGAATTTTATTATATGTATAGATGTAAAGATGTATGGTCGAATTAGCAAATCTTAAGAATCGGTTAAATTAGCTTATTATAAGTAATTGAATGTATTTTAATTTTTTATTTATATAAAAAAGCGACTTATTTTTCTTTATGTTGTTCCCACTTACATTTTGTATTATCATTTATCTGTTCTGTTCTTTAGTATTATTGAAGTGCAAAACTTTTATAGGCAGGTTTGGAATGGGGAGTAAATTCATGTAAGTTGTCATCGACATGGTCACGTGACGTGTTAACCTAACACTCAGAGTGCCGATTGATGTCGAAACCAGATAAATGTAAACAGTTTTAATTTACAAATTTTAATTTAATATCAAACAATTAATTTAAATATCCAAAAAAAAAACAACTTTTTGTTTATAGTGTTAAGTTTTCACATTTATATAGTTATAATATCAGCCACATTATTCTGCACTATAATTATATATAAAAAAATCACATCAGCTATGTGATAGGAGGAAACCGACACACATTTGCATTTATACCTATTAGGGCTTTTGCATACAATGATTTTTTTAACGCGCTATCGACGCGCGTTTGTCTGTCCATCCTAATCTGCATTTTTAGCAGTATCAGTCTAGTTTATGTTCTAATAACGTACGCACAGATACGTAAATATTATACGTAATATTAACATAATACTCGCATCGTCGACGCCTTTATAAAACGTGGTGTGCGTAGTCCCTAAGATTTTTTAATTGCTCTAAAAAATAAAGTTAAACTGTTATTATTTGGCCTTAACTTTAGGCCAAATGTCAAAAACAGTTTGACGTTTCTGGAGCACAGATTAAAAAAACTCCTTTGCGGGGTTAAGTATACCCTGAGACAGGTTTTCTTAGTTGGTGTAAAGGAGACATTATATTTTTTATTGTACATACACATATTTAGCAACTATTTTATGATTATAATAATAGATGATTAATAATTTAATTTGTGTCTCGCAAATGCAATAACTGCAAAGATAATTAAGAAATAAGAAAATAATAAAATACTCTGAATATCCATTACCTGTAAAAATTGACATAAATTCTTGCATGTATACTAAAATATAGTGTTCTTGCAATATTTATGCCATACTAAACCATAAGTTTGAAAATATGCTATAACTTTCTATAAACACCCGTAGTCAATTTTCCAAAAAGTTATTACTACACTAAATAATTATTATACCTACTTATCATTTAAAACCTCTTTTCAGAAAATAATAGGCGTTTTCAAACCCAAAGATGAGGAGCCATATGGAAGATTAAACCCAAAATGGACGAAATGGATGCACAAACTGTGCTGTCCGTGCTGCTTCGGCAGGTCCTGCCTCATCCCCAACCAGGGGTACCTGTCGGAGGCGGGGGCTAGTTTAGTAGATTCAAAAATCGGCTTAAGAATAGTACCTAAAACTAGGGTAAGTTTCTGGAATATTTCTAGACCACTTTAGCGTGTTCAGCTTTTCCTTTTTCTGTTCTCTTTAACGAGTGCTCCACGCGTATCTATTTTTCTTCATATCATCTACATTTATACTACCAATTTAGCTGGTTATGTGATATACACCGTATAGAAAGGCGATATATGTATATCCTGAATACCCCTTTTTAATATATTTTGAATAAAACTATCAGCTGTAAAGCATTCGAAAAGTCGGATACTAAATATCAAAATACTTAAATCTAAACCTACTAACTAACCTAACCTAACTTGGCAGTGGGTTCAATCCTCACTTGAAATTTTCTTTTTTGTGTTTTAAAGTATAGAAATGATATTTTCAAAGAAGTTTAATACAATTCGATAGCTGAATCCGCGGATATCGTATATATTAATAGAGTATGATCCCAGATTAGGTAAAGGATTACAAAAAATTTGTTACAGAATACAAAGATTAGAAGTGTGTTTTCGATTGCACAGTATATTATCGTATACGTATAAGGAGCTCAATTAGTTCCATATTATAATTACAAGACAATTGTTTCTCTCAGTTTAAATAACTGGTGAACCTTGAATAAAATTACTTTTAAATAGTAGATAATGTTAATTTTTAACCTTTTTATATTAACGTGATTTCTTATTCATTTAAATTCTAAAATTTACAGCTACAGGTGGTTATAAGAATATGTATAAAGAGATATTTCATAACTGGTCTTTTTTACAATACTTTCTTAGCGTTAAGCTTAATATTTGGACATTTGAAACAAAACTGTTTTTTCGGATTTTTTCGCGGATTTATTTGATTCTCGTCACCATGATTGCTGTATTCAGGCCTTTTTAAAGCTCTATTGTTGGGCACGGGCCTCCCTTCAATACGAGGGGATCAGGCCATAGTCCACCACGCTCGTCTAGTGCGGGTTGGCAGACTTCAACTGTCTTTCGAAATCTTGCTAGGTTCTCCGAGACATACAGGTTTCTTCACGATGTTTTCTTTCAAGGTAAGATAAATGGTAATCATAATTGCGTCTACAGCATTCGCAAAGTCGGGAACCAAAAGTCAAAATAAATCTGCGAAAAATCGGAAAAGATAGTTTTATTTAAAATGATCTTTTTCTGGCAGGTGGTGAAATTAGTGTCTGAAACGTTTAATTACTTACGCATCGACCGTGAGAGATCGCGTCTGAAGCGCGCCATCACCGAGCAGTTCCCCAACCTGCGCTTCAACAGGATGGGCTTACCGCCTAAGGTCAGTTAAGACTTACCTAAAAAATTAAATGTTTAATTTAAAGCAGAAATATTTCTCCAAAGACTGATTTTTCCGGAAATTATCATGTCCCAAAATATTTATTCCGAAAATAAGCTCTTTAATAAGTTTTTAGTCTTGTTTTTAAAAAAGAGAAGAAAAATTCTACTGTATAAAGGTTGTTTTAAACAAATAAGCAGTAAGGTGATGTAATTTAAAAAGTGAGGATGAGAATGTATTGTAACAGAGGGTGTCCCGGTGGTCGGTCGGTTGCAGATGGGGTCGTTCCAGGTGTTCGTGGAGGGGTTCAAGGACGCCGACTACTGGCTGCGGAGGTTCGAGCAGGAGCCCCCGCCGGCGCCCGTCATGGACACGTACGTACATACACTAGTCAAAATAAACATTTTTGTTTACAGAGAATATTGTGTCCATTTAATTTTAAATACTTTAATTTTATTTTGCTATCCAATGCTTTTTTATTTTATTTATTTTAATTTCATTTATGGTGCTATTACAGTATAAAAATCTATACATTACATGATTAGTCTTGACGGAAGTCACGCCAAATACAAGTGTTCAATAAACTCCAATTATCATGGAACGTTTTCGAAGTTAAAGTAATGTAGCTAGCAATGTCGTGGCAAGTTACAGCCCTACCGTCAACTCTTAAAGCCGTTTCCCGACTGTCATATAAATGTACGAACGACAGTCGGGACCGCTTCACTCGTGCGCGCCCTCCAATGGTTGCCCTATCTAGATATCTTCGTTAGAACACTGGATGTATTTGTAGAATGCACTTCTCCATTCCCTATACCTAGCTCCACTCTACCTTAGTAGTCTAAGGTATGAGCATCTTTCACTAGAAAACTGTTTGTGTCGTTGAGACGTTTATGGTAGATTGGCTGGTGGCTATTCAGAAAAATATGTTATCGGGTTTTTACTCAATGCCTCGAAGGACCATGTATACATGGTTCATCCTACAGACTATTTTGATATTTGTATACATCAAAGCAGAAAATGTTACAGATGTATTGTTTGGACGAAAGTATACAAAAAGATAAGTTTTACCAGTAAATATATACGAGTATAATGAGTGTCTGTATGTCAGATTCCAGCTGCAGTTCGAGCGGCTGGTGGTGCTGGACTACATCATCCGCAACACCGACCGCGGTAACGACAACTGGCTCATCAAGTATGACGCTTCCGCCCACACCACCGCCGACCATGGCATGACGGAGCCCACCGTGAGTGATACATATATACATGGAAACATACAATTCTGTTAGTTTAATGTTTAATGAATATATTGTAATGTAGATTACGATGAAAAAAAAGTGTTATTCTAAGATATAACTGATCTTTATTCTAAATTCAATTTTAATCTGTTGAGTCGCATCAGCGTCAGTCATATACATACATGTTTTTTGTATAGTAGTTTTGTTATATCAATGTGATGTTAGCAAGTATAATGTCTTCCCGAACGATTTCGATTACGGCAGCCAATCTCACTGAGGCTATCCAAATACATAGGAGTCATCATAGTGTTCGCACAGTGCAGCATACCAGTGCTCTCTCTATATCTCAGTCCGGTGGGACGTGTGTGTGCAGGAGTGGGGCGGCGCGGGCGCGGGCGCGGAGGGCGTGGCGGTGCGCATCGCCGCCATCGACAACGGGCTCGCCTTCCCCTTCAAGCACCCGGACTCGTGGCGCGCCTACCCCTACCACTGGGCCTGGCTGCCGCAGGCCAAGCGCCCCTTCAGCCAGGAGACCAAGTTAGTGGGGGGACACATACGCACGCTTACATTTAATATACACATCTACATACGCACATACACATGTAATTAACTCTGAAGTAAAACAGTTTTTTTTTAATAAATAATTTATTTTAATTTTTTTTCTTTTGCATAGCTCGCTCACAGCGCCTTACGTAAAATTCTCCATCTTGATTTTTTTAAGTTATGCTTCTTTCATGACATTTGGAAAAAAATATAAGAGTAAAATTTTTACGATGCGTGCGCACACCGATAGCCATAAAGCGACACGATGAAGTTAGCTGAAAGCGACATTCCTTTTACAAACAGAGAGTTGTGACATACGGGATGAAATCTTTAGCTATTTTTGTTCTATTACGCCAAAGAAGTATAACTTCTTACGCGCGTACATGTAATATATCATAAGTACACACACACACGTATTTTTTTTAATCTGTTATCCTTTTCTCTACCATACCTTTGTCCTTGTTACTCAGTCTTACGTTTCATTTCCCACACACATATAACTATAAGAGCGCATACATCTCTACACTTGGACACATTCACACACACATAATCATGAATAGATTACTGAGCATATCGTGGGTGTGTCGCAGGGAGCTGGTGCTGCCGCTGCTGTCGGACATGAACTTCGTGCAGGAGCTGTGCGACGAGCTACACCTGCTCTTCAAAGTAAGCACTATATACTATAATCTTTACGTATGTTACAGATTTCAATGGATTTAATATTATATTATCGCGATGCTCGTCCTCCATGGTCAGTGTGCTCGTGCGGCACAGTACACTCTCACTACTGACTCACGTTATAAATTATTCCCTATCAAATATGTCAAACGCTATTGTCAAGTACCGCCATTCAACTACCCTCAAAATCATCTATAAAATAATTTTTATTAATTATCCTCTAACATGTATCGTTTAAGATATTTGGAACGGAAATGGGTGGTAATTAAAACACTTTAAAAAAAAACATGGCTTATTTTTGTTTTTTTTTTGTTGTGTGATTTTTTTTAATTTATACCTTAAATAGTGCCGTTGAAAATAAAGTTCCATTTATTTTACAAAGGAGCGGTAGTCCACTGGTAATGAACTCGTTTAGGAAGTTAAGTAAGATGCCTTTCGCAACCGTCAAATGTCATTCTATGTGCATCTAATTTTCAACGTTTAAGAAAACGTTTGATATTTATCCTTTTCTCAGAATCAGTTGCTACTATATAGAATATATATGGATTGAGAAGAGTTTTGTGTTCCAAAGTAAGACTAGGTTTCAAAGGAAAGATTCAGGTTATCATGAACAATATATATTTTACTATTTTTTTTAATTAGATATGAAATTTTCTTAAATGAAAGATAAATGTGATACGCAAGGTGTGACCGGTACGCTTGTATATAATATGTATGTATGTTATGATGTTTAGCAAGACAAGGGGTTCGACAAGGGGCTGTTCGAACGGCAGATGTCGGTGATGCGCGGCCAGCTGCTCAACCTCACGCAGGCGCTCAAGGACGGCAAGAGCCCCGTACAGCTCGTGCAGATGCCCGCCGTCGTCGTCGAGAGGTGACACACCCACACCACACACACACACACACAGAGAGAGAGAGAGAGAGAGAGAGATACACGTGTACGCAGGCACACACGCACACGCACGCATGTTTAATACGAACGAAACCCGAGTATGAGATACTTCTAATGGACGAATAAAACGTTAATCTTAGAGACTCGACTCTTGATTCACTACTTTCTCTCTACACTACTACGTGTTATTAAAGTATATATTCATATATCAATTAATGCCAAAGATAAGCAAATCTTACTTTATTATACTTCAATAAATAATGATATTCCCTTTGCGAAAATTATTTACGTCGTAAATTAATTTAATTTACTATTAAATATATAAATTTATCAGCGTTTTTTATTCATTGTAATTATTTCTTGCAACATTTAAGGCTTACAGATTTTTTTCT